TAGAATATTACAAAACAAACCTAAGCTAACTTAGTCTTTTCTTTGTAATAAGCATCCAAAACTCCCTAAAGCATAACGGTTTTATTATGAATCGGTTTTCAGGATTATGAAAGTTTGGCTTTACGTTAAATTTGAATTTTAAAAAATCTAAACATCGGTACTTTGAATACAGGAATTTATCCAGTAAACATAGCTTGAACTTAAGGAGAAAGTGACAAGTATTAACAGAGAACATCTTACACCGACAAAATGCATTAAAAATCAAAAGTTGGATGAATGGCAAAATATACCAACTTAAGAAACAAAGAAGGTAATTGAAGCAGACTGACACTGCAAATTAAATAGGATATTTTTATAAAAGTTTAAGCAATTTGTAGCCTTCACATGCAAACAATGCATAATAATCCAAATAGTACAACCTTGATAGCCTAACGGTTTGCACTGTGGGCACTGGATGAGAAGTTCCCGGGTTCTATACCGGTAGGATCAATTTAACAAATTAACTTTTCTAAATGGTTCTGGTGTTGGTATTCTATTGTAAGACAATCACCTGGTCTGAAACTAGGGAACTCTCTGTACATACTCCCCATGAGTATCAGAACAACAGAATCCCAGAGCAAAACCAATTTACAAAAGTTCATTTCCCAAATTGGTTCTACTGGGAATCGAACCTGGGACCAAGAACGATGGAATTTATTTCGGGGCACAACTCAGAACACCCAGGCCAAAACAACTTTCGAAAAGTTCACATTTATTTTTATAGTCGATTGAGCTGACTTTTTACGGTTTTAAAAAAAATTCTCGAATAACTCGAGAAATCGGGTACGAGAATTCTCGAAACTCAAGAAAAAAACATCAGACACCCTAACTCGTAAATAATGGCATTGTATAAAATTCAACATTTACATATAAAATTTATTTATAAATAATAAAGGCTACTCCATTATACCTGTGTTCAAATACTTTTCACTAGAAGGGGAATTCCCTACAAATTGGCAACGCTGGATACAAGTCGTAATTCGCGCTCGGGCTGGTCATGGCCGGCATTTGTTTGTTGACAAATAAATAAACATTGTGAAGTAATTCCGTGTTGTGAAATGATAAAAACAATTGAAATGAGCGCGTAAACTACTGTACTTCAATGTAGTGTATGTGTATTGTGCCGTTTATCAATGGAATACAGTGAAATCATTGTGTGAAATGTGGTTGGCGTGAAAAAATAACCTCAATGTTGTAATGAAAATTGTATTTCTGCCATCATAAGTTAGGTATGTCATTAAAATATTCTTTATATTTAAATGATAGTAAATGTATCCACCTTTCTAGTCATATTATAACACATTCCATACAATTATGCAGAATAACGTTTAATTTTGCGACAAATTGGATTATTTCCAATTGTTTTTTTGACCAAGTGTTTTGAAAAGTGTTTTAATGCATAAAGCGCTCATTATTTGGTAACAGCTTATAAGGGTTTTGTAATACTGTCAAAAGAAACAATCGCTTAGAAACATCGCGTTTTGTAGACAATCATAAAAATCTCATAGGAGGAATATTCTTCGACAAGTTCAACTACACTAAAGCAAGTAAAAATAATCTTTTGGTATTCTAAAGTTTTTCTATAGATCAAGCTATAGACAAAATGTTCCCAACTGTGTTTTGAAAAAAGCTTTAAATTCTTATCGCCATTTTTATTTTCAAAGAATGACTACTTATGAAGTAGCCGAGAAAAATTTCTTTTCTTTTTAAAAAGTAAATCTAAGTTGAAAAAGCCTAGAATTTCTTGGAAATGGTTTGTTTTGTGAGTTATTTTGTATATTTAAGTTTTCTATAAATATTTAAAACCGAAAATCGATAACTGTATTTTTATTAAGTTTATATTTTATACTTAAATATTTAAAATTTAGCGAGCGCATTACTTTTATGACAGGTTTTACATCACTTTTCACAATGTATTTAAAGTCGCACGTTAATTTGCGCTTTCCAACCGATTAAACATTGCGCGAAAGAGTCAGAAATATTGTATCTAATTTCGCCATGTTGCAATTTATATAGTTTATATTTTGTAAGCCATTAAACATGAAGTCTATTAGTATTAAGAGAATTGCGTCCTATGTTTGTAACGCTTTAGTATTTTGGTTTTAAAATAGCATTACTAAGAAAACTATCATAGACTATAAATTATCTAAAAACTATCTACAAGACTAAATAAAAACTTTCTACATTCTACAAATGGTCTTGTAGCATTCTAGAAGGGTTACTTCAGAAAAAAGATAAGAATGACTCTTAACACTACCTACAGATAGTTTCTCAAAGCACTCTTGTGATCTACTAATAAAGTTGTGCCCACTTTTACTTTAAATTATCTAGAAACCTTCTTTGAGATATCTTGAGGGAATTTGAACTCTTAAAATATTCAATCGAATTAAATTCTATTAGATGTCTTATAGTATATATTTAGATATGGGTGTGCTGCTTGGGATTGAACTTGAGTAAATGTCTTTTTTATGAGGTCCATCGATTATCAAGTTTTTTCAAGTTATTGCAAGTTCTTTAATACAATTATTAAAGAAAAATGCAAAATTTATTTTGTGTGATGATCAAGAGCGAGCGTTTGTTGCTCTCAAATTGAAACTAATTAAGAGACCTGTCTTAGCCTTTTACAACCCATCTTTTGAGATTCAAGTACACACCGACGCACCGAAAATTGGTGTTGCTGGTATTTTATTACAAAAACAGAATAAAAATGAACCATTTCAAGTTGTGGTTTATTAGTTACTGATTGTAATTCTTTGAGAGCAACATTCGAAAAAAAGATGCATGATGGTGAAACGTTTTACAAAAATATGACTTTTCTATAGTTTATAAACCCGGAAGTATAATGAGTTACATGGATGCTTTAAGCCGCAATCTAGTGTTCGAACTATCAAATCAGCAACGACAATAAAAGTTATGAAATCTTATTTCAATACGTTTGGAGTTCCTAAAAGGTTGATCTCAGATAGAGGTACATCATTTGAAAAAAATTTGAAAGTTTTGTCCATGTCTGCATTTAGGCATTAAACATATCCTTAATGCGGTCGCGATTCCGAAGGTCAGTGGATCGAGAGAGAGATACTTGGTACGGGACAAAGTAAGAAATTAGTTCCCAAATTGTAAGGCCCATATCGCGTTACTAAAGTTCTAGGTAATGATAAGTATGAAGTTCAAGACACTCCTCTATCTCGCAAGGGCAATAGATTGTTCAAGAGTGTGTTTTCGGCAGATAAAACGCACTCGTGGTTAGTTTTTGGTAAAAGTGATGACCTTGGTTCGGACTCTTCAGAATCTGACACTTGTACAAATTGAATGAACTCTTTTATCTTGCCTGGAAGACGTGTATGAGGCTTCCAAGCAAATAATATTGAAGATAAGTATGAGGCTTCAACATCATTATTATTATTAATCTTATGGAAATCGAGTACTGGAGATGTCAATAATGTGCTAAAATTATAATTGTTCAAAGATAATGAAATATTCAATGTAAGAGGTTATAATGTGAACAATTGCGTCTTGGAGATTTGAATGAGGCTCTATTACTGAATGTGTTTTATTTAATAAAATACATAGTTCGAAGGTATGATATGTGTGCTTGTATGTTTAAATATTAATATTACAATATTAAGAATTAAGATGTGGAGATGTTAATGAGGCCCCTTTAGTTATACTGATGCCATTGTAGTTTTGTTACAGTTTGGTTTGTAGAACATGGACAACTGTATTAATTATCGTTATGTAGAAGTTGCAATATTTATTTACATTGAATATCATGATTTTTACTACCATGATACTCACGCATTTTGTGAAAATACTCCACTTGTATATTATTAATAACCAATAATAATTGACATGTTATTGTTAAATTTGATGAATTTCCAATGATTTTGTGGAATTAAATATTTAATTAATTATGTTACTTTTAAGTTATTTTTTTTTGTACGAATTTTTCTGGAATTATTGCTTGTATACTTCACGAGACGTGAACAATATCGGGAAGGCCGACGTAAGCTTTTTATAATTTTTAACCGACTTGAAAAAAAGGAGGAGGTTCTCAATTCGACTATATGTTTTTTTTGTATGTATGTTACGCGATAACTTCGGTATTTGTGAACCGATTTTCATGTTCATTTTTTGTTGGAAAGAGGGTACCTCCGTAGTGGTCCCATTTCATTTTGAAGAAAATCACCTACCTCTAAGGATGGCTGATCACGCATGAACATTCATTTTCATTAATAGCGCCTAAATTTTACTTAAGGAGTAATTATTTCAATGGTTGGTTTTGCTATTCTCCAATTCAAGGCGTTTTTCTCTCTCAATATATTTAGAGTAGTGAGAACCGATTTTTATTATCTCCTGTGTCAAGTCCTGTATAGTGGCGAACTAGGGGATATTGTAATAAAACTTGGCAAATAGATGTAATTCCACGTACTTTTGAGATCGGTTTTTTTAGTACTCTGTACTGAGATTATAATCATACAATGTATTTGTAGTAATCATAATAATATAGAAGATAGATAATGAGTACAGTTGTTGATTTGAACAAGTCATGAGTATAGGACTTGAGTAGCCATGTGATGTTGAATATTACTGTTAAGGAATTTAATTATACAGCCTGATTATTATTTTTCATTAACAATACATCACGTTAATTATATATTATCCTTATTACTTTAAGTAAATTTAAATGTGGTTTTAATGTACAAATGTTTAGTCTAATCAAAATTGAATATAGGATTTGATTTGTCGTTTTCCAGGTGAATAGTGGGGTAGTAGGGTAGGGGTAGTTAATAAAAACTGTGTAATATTGGTAAAATATTCAGTACTGTAGTAGATGTTTGATTTGAAAGAGCGAATATACGAATAGTGTAACAAGTGGTGTTTCTCATTTTTATAAAATGGTTTGTATGCCTTATGTCACTTTAATCTAACTCAGGAGAATACACAATGTTGTATTTACTTACGTGAAAAGATAACATCAGGTATTTTAATAATAGCAATATCGTTACTAATCATTTCAACGTCGTAATCAGGATGGACGGTAATATCATTGGTCAGTATTCGGAGACCACCACTAAATATCAAATTGGAACCAAGAATAGAGGTAAACTCGTCAGCAGTGACTTTGCCATCAAAATAACAATGGGCTGCTGTTATTATACTGTTACTAGATATTAGAGATCCGCCACACAATGAAATGGAATTATTAAAGACTGTAACGATAAGGCCAACCTGAAAGAAAAGTTAAATAAAAATATAAGTAACTAATACTAACAATAATAATTGATCTAGTAGTAAATCCAAAAATCAACTAAACTTATACAAAATTTGGATTTATGGCAAAAGTAAAGATCATCAGTAACAGAAAAAAGAAAGAAAAGATATATCATAAAGAAACAAAGACTAAGTTTTCTTAAGAATTTTGCTAAGCAGTAATTGAAGTTGAAAGTTTACATTACACGAAATAAAATCAAGATTTTTGGTAACAGCTCATCGTGAACATTAAATATTCCACATGACAATACGGCAGTATTTGTCTTTTTTACTTATTACTTACTTGGTAAGGTACTTCAGTAATATCTGTTAATGTACCTCCGACTATTCTTTGGCTTTTTCTATTGTCCAATGACTCTTCCCATTCTTTAATTTTCGTTGCTGTTGGTATACCAATTTTAGTATGATAGTTGTATACAGACAAATCTTGAATTGCGTCTTTAGAAAGCGTTAATTGGATAATTGGCAGAATAAATGTTATGATAAGCCCGTTCATGTTCTATTTTTTCTTTTACTTCTTTAATATCTTGTTTATTTTCTTCTTCTTCTATTATTTTACTTAATAGACTTTCAAATAATTTCCTAAAAAGAAATTCAGTCAATAAAGCTACAGTTACACATGGGTTTAGATTCGCTTAGCTTCAGAAATTACGACATTTCATAAGTAAGGAATTAGCGATATGCACTTGATAGCAATGTCCACAAAGAGACTGGAATTAAGGCGAGTTCTGCACCCAAGTTCGTTAGAGCATTGCGGTAAAAGTTAGCGATGTGAATGGGAAAGGAATTTAAATTTTAACCCCTCACCGAACAAGTCGTTTTGAGCTGTATTATCCGACATAATTGCATTATTTCTATAAAAACTTGCAATAGAGGTTTATGAGAGGTTTTTCACCTTTCACCGCTTAATCTTGTTACAATGTATTATGTTTCGTAATAAACTTTGAAAGGGGACTTAGTACTTATAATCGTAATATCTTATTTTATATACCACCGTGCTCGACAAACTACGCTATTTACAGTCTGCTGACTCCTTGCCAAATAGTATAATTCACGTTTTAGTGAACACGACGTTTTTTTGTCAATCTAAGGCAATATTTAAAAAAGGAAACGTTAGCTCGCTTGAGCAATATCAGTGAACAGTCCTATACTTACTTATTTATTTTGAAAATATTGATGATTATTTATATTATGTACCTAGATTAATACTTACCACAGTAGTAGTTTAAATTTAAATTCAAAGCTATTCATATTGAAATAAAAATAACATTACATTTAAGCAGGTTCATATTTCACTTTATAATAATTTGTACAATTATATACTGACAGACACACAAAAACACACACACACACACACACACACACACACACACACACACACACACACACACCAACTACGATCTTGAGGAAGATCAAAAGCATTATATACTGGCTGATACTTTTGTGGTGTTGTATTATTATATACTAAATTTTATTCTAGAAAACATAGGTTTTCTAGAATAAAATAACAGTATTGTCTGTACTATTTTAAGGTTTACTTTGTATATTTATGATATTGTAAACGCTGTTAGTTTTCAATAAAAATAAAAATAAGAATAAATAAAAAATATATTGTGAAAAATATGAAGCTTTAACTGGTGTTGAAGTCATTTGTAAAAGCTACTAAACTGGAAAACCCATTTAAGTTCTTTGCATGTATCTCATGCGCAGGCCACTCCGCGAACGAAGCTAAACTAACTTTGCTTAGCTCACGTAGCCGGGCATCTTCTCCAACCCGAAGTATGAGCGAACACACCGCGCACACCGCGAACTAAGCTAACTAAACTAACGACCCAATAGTTATGTAAAATATGTCGCCCTTTACCCCCGTACGTATCTATAGGCACTACTTACTACGTATTTTCTTAGCTAAGTTTTACAATACAACTACGTGAGCTAAGTTAAGTTAGCTAGTTTCGTTTGCGGTGTTGTCTGCGCTTTAAGCTAACTGTTATTACGCCTGGTGCATTATTATCAACACATCAATTACCTAGTCTAAAACTAGGGAGGTCACTGTATTATGAGTAACCAGAGCAACGGCATTGGTAGCGGAATATCACCAGTATGCGGTTCGATGTAAATTTCCTACTGTATTCTTAAAACAAATGAACTATAGTTATTTTAAGTTAGAGCACGTACCTACGGCAAGTAGACACTACGATAAGGTTATATGTGCAATAGGAACTAGGTCAAGAAGGCAGCTCCGGTTTCACAAAGCTCGGGACGGCGCGAATGACTTCACGAGGCAGTGACTCACATCTGTTGTTTGGATAGTTGCTATAGTTTGCTTGATACATTTTCATTCTATGATGTAGGGTTTTTCTAGGTAGGTTTTTCTTGTTATTATTTATTCTTACATACACATTATCTACAAAAGTGGCGTGGTTATAGTTATTTTGACTCAGCGACGTGAGTTGACAGATTACGAAATATTAATGCTTGTTGAAGGTGATTCATCATTGAGTGATGACTCTTCTCCCCTTTTACTTGGTCGGTAATGAAATAAAATACTTAAGCAATTGTTGATTTCTTCACATATGAGTAATAATCGCATATTTGGATGCTTTTGAACTAAAGTTCACTTTTTCCCGTGAACTGCTAACAAAATGTTGAAGTGGCTTCTTAAAATATAATTTTTCTTCGTTTGAATCCCGAGATCCCGGAAGGATGTGACATGTTACGATTTTTATATTTTAAATTTATAATATTTTAAAAGTCTGATCATGACTATTAATATAACAACTAGATTTCAGCATGGTAAACAGCTAAAAGTTTCAAATTTAAACTACGAACCATAAGATGGTTTGACGGTTATGGTAAAAAATTATTAACTACAAAACGTTTTTCTTAATATCTAAATATTTTACACTTTTCATTTTCAATATGTGATAAAAGTTCATTTAAAATTTACACGAAATCACAAGTAACATTTTGAGCGTTTATTTTCTTTCTACTTAATAATTCCGCCAATTCCGGCGTCACTAGATTTATTCATTACAAAAGCGCATTCTGCGCTTTTGTAATGAATAATATTATTATATTACCGCAATCGAATTGTAGGCAATTAAGTGTCCAAATATCCGACTACTACAAATAACATAGTAATTACATTTATAAAAAACTCAAAATTTATTAAGATTGTGTGTATAATGTGTGCATATGAAAGGGACAACATTCAATACAACTCTACATAAGGTAAAATACTGACAAACTAAACAAGATTACGAACCGAAAATGTGAAAATTCACATCAAAGAAGAAAACAATAATCTTCTAAAGGGAACTACATAAATAGTATATCTAAGGCTTGTAAAACTTCTTCTACGGTGGTTTTAACCAAAGTGCAGGGGAGTGAAAAATCCAAAAAAAAAACCAGTTACCCTCTTTGTTTTTGTAAAAGAAAAATCTAGGATGAGATAATACATAAAGCTGGCGATGCCTCGTATTCCGCCTTTGCTCGGATGTGGGAACACAGCTTTGTGGCGAGAACTAGGGAAACCGAGGAGATTTCATTAATTTTAAAGGATTATTGATATAAAATATGTTTTAAAGGATTATTGATATAAGCAAAATGCTTCACACCTTTCTCTAATTTAATATTCTAATCTTTCACCTTTCTTCACTAAGTTCTCGACATCCGTTTTAGCTCAAACTTCACGAAATAGCATGGTTAGATATTAGTACTATACAAAACTATATGTTCTCGTGAAGTTTCACACAATCCATCTTATTTAGTGAGCTAGGGGGTGTGTTGGGGTGGGTTAGGGGGTGTGTTAGGGAGTGAGTAGTGAGTAGTGAGTAGGTTTGAGTGAGTGGGTTTGAGTGGGTGGGTTTGAGAGTGTGGGTGAGTGGGTGGGAGACTGAGCGGGTGAGTGAGCGGGTGAGTGGGTGGATGTAGGTTCCACACACACACCCGACGCCTAACCCAACCCTTCACCCACCCTTTAACCATCCCCTCACCCACCCTCTAACCAACCCCTAACCCATACCCTAAACCCACCCCTAACTCAACATTTAATCCACCCCCTAACCCACCTTCTAACCCACCCCCTAATCCGCCCCCAACCCACACCCTAAACACACCGCCAACCCACCCCCTAACACACCCCCTAACCCACCCTTAACCTTGATTTTTTAATCTGATTGAATTGAATTGATTTTTTAGTCTGATTGAATTTCTGATTGAAATTTAATTGAGTAACGCCCAACACTGTTGTACACTTCAAAGCTAAATTTTAAAGTGATTTTTTTTATTAGCTCACCAACAACTGCTAAAATTATAACTAGGAAGGTACCTAACAGTGGTTAATGTTAGGTGGAGTTAACGCATGCCATAATTGTAAATACGTGATGAAGTATATTACGATTAAATAGTAGTGTAATAATAAAATTATATTTACTACTCACAACAATTCAACAGTTTTCGATGTTCAATATAGCAGGTCAAGTTTAAAAGAGGTTGCACTAAATTTGCGACTCCGGCTACAAATCTACGACAAAATACTGGGGCACTATTGTAAGTGGGTATTGTTTGTTCGAAATAGCATTTGCTCTTTCACTAACAATCTACAAAAATAAATTCAGTCACTTGTAATAAATACTGTTTCAGCGTGCAGATGGCGCGTATATTTAATAGTTTGGGTTTTTAGAGGGCATGATAAAATTTGATAAAATCATCGTTATCTTGGCATTTATCTTCAATGATTGGATTTAGGTAACCTCTTGAAATAATCTTGTATGTGCAGAATTTAATAATATCTTCAAATTATAAATTAAAATATCTTTGCAACACTTGGAAGGGCTTAAAATTCAGTTTAGAAACCCCGGGGCCCGAAAGAGGGATATAAAAGATAAAGTATTAAAATTAAGATTTGAGTTTCGCCGTAATTGGAAAATATAAATACTTGCTTATTAAAATGAAAAATTAATAACTTATATGCTCTGTTTTTTTCTCTAGTCAAAGCGGATTGGCCTAAAGGTCTTGCATCCAGGCACAAACTTTATTAAAAAAAAATAGTCAAGGCGGAGTAAACTGACAGTTTATTGGGCAAAAGTGTTGCCCGCTTACAAGCAGCTAGTGATTGCAGTCGATAAATGTTCTAACATTTGAAAACGGGAATAAATGCGTTTAAATCCTAATACGTATATTCACATCTTCCTATTTTCCTGACGTTTCGGCCAAGTTGCACTGGCCACGATCATGCGTTGACCGTGTGTCTGTGTGTCAAATGTTAGTAAAATGCAACACGAAATTTTAAAAGTGTAGATAAATGTTTTATCGACTATCACCTGATTTTTGTAACTTGTTTAATTTGAAAATGTAAAAATTAGTATTACAGTAAAATATTCCAACAGGCGTAAACTTCACACTATTTCACACTTTTAAATGAACAAATTTATAAAAAATTAAAAAATTTGATAACAATACTTATCACAACTACATAAAAACTCTATTTCCCCCAAAATATAACTCGTAAAAGTTGGCTTTTCGTTAGAGCTCAAATTCAATGTTATATAACATACAAGGATTGTGTAGATGTTTCCGTTGGCACCTAGTATTATTTTTACGCGGGTATTTTATTTGTGATTGTATAGCCTACAATAAGGCAATAAATAGCTCTAGAATAAAAAGGCGTGTCTGTAATTCACGAAGTGATTTCTGTGCTAGTGAGTTAATTGTCCAAATAAGAGTAAAGATAGCAATAACGCAATTATTAATCATTGCAACGTCAAAACAGTCACTAATCATACATTTATCTTTTTTCACTATCTACCGATAAAACCATCGAAAACAACCATAATACTATTTAAAATTTTACGAAAACTGACAACCCTGTAAACGTCATTTTATTCCGCCATAAAAAACAGACTATAGAATTATATGAAATTGTGAAAACAATTCGTGGCGTTCGACTACACGGGAACTACCTGCAACAGAGATTGAAAATATATAGTCAATACTAAAAAGAGAGAGTAAATTTTTATTACGAACCTTACGCCAGTCTTGGGTCATTAAATAGAACCCAAAAAATAGAGCAAAAAAACTCGCATATTGAGAGCATATTACATATTAAGTTTTTTATCATAGTCAATTCAGTTATTAATACACTACTAGATATTAGTTGCAATACTGTGATATCAAAATTTGAGAGAAAGGATTACAGAGACAGACAGACCTGTCAATATATCGCTGACTTTCTAGAATATTAGCTTATCTCAAAAATACTCGGTTCATCAGGCTTAAAAAAAAACGAGTGTTACTCACAATCACATTCTAATAAAGCAGTGTAATAAATTAAAAAATGGCTTAATTTGGTTTGGGTCACTATTCCTGAAAAACAGCAATATATTGTGTGAAATGAAACTTCAACTTGCTTGTAAATAAAATCTCAAGTACAATTGTATTTTGATATTTCTATTGTGGGATATTACATTGGCATAGATTCTACAAGACCTGTTAACAGTTCGCCGATTCGAAACCAACGGAATTCTTAACCAAATAGTAGACACCCTTTTGCCCCAGACACCCCACTGCAGTTCTTTTCGTTAGTGGCGGAAGTGTAACAGACGATATCGATACTACCAATCACCATACCAATTAATATTACTTCAAATTGAAAATATGTGTAAATATGATCAAAAACCGTATTAAATAAATATATTAAATAAAAATGTAAATAACGTGATCCTCGTTCGCCTCACTCTCCCCACTACGGTGTGGCGGAAGTGAGGCAGTACGGTATCAATGCTACCAAATGATTGCTGTACCAATCAGGATTACTTCGAATTAATGAAATAAAATTTACATCTGACAAAAATGTAAAAATATAATAAAAAATCATGACATGTAAGACATATCGTAGTTAGAAACCTGTAAACTAGTGACAAACGTTTAAAATGAAATGAGATGCACGCGAATTGTTTGTATTCCAGTATTTTTTTAAATATGGTTCCATTATATACTTAAAAAAACAAGTAAACAATACGACTGCACCAATACTAAAAATCTAAATGCAATATCCACCATTATTTTTAAATGATACTCGTATTAAATGCAGCAATTAGATCAATAATACTTATTTATTATATAATTTAGAAGCGTAAAATATCACTGGGGTAGCGACATGGGTAGACTTATTTTGGTTGATCACTGAGATCAAAACAGAACTATCCATTCTTCATACACCATAATCAATCAAGCCCTTTAGGTTACAGGATAAGCCAAAGAAATAGACATTCAAATATATGTACGTACATCAGAAAGAGAACACCCTCCGGCAACCGGGCAAAAATGGTAATTCTTATCTAGATAATGACCTTAAGCTGACTTACAGCACCTTAAGCAGGTCTTTTACTTAAAAAAAAAGCAGCTAGGCGCTTACCATTTTGTGGACACTGCATTTTCATGAACCGGATACGGATGCAGAAGCACGCCCGTACTAGTTTATATGCGCTTTTGTCCGCCGTAAATTTGTCTACGGGGACTTGCTTCGTTCGGAAGTGTCCGGAGACCGGAGTGTTTTATAGTTCTACGGCACTTACTTCTAGTATTGTTATTTGCTTATCATTGGAGTATGGACTATATTTTATTTAGCACATGAGGAAAGAATAACTTTTATAAAGGAAAATGTTAGCAATGTACAGTATTCTCTAAAATAAAATTCCAGTAATTAAGCAACTTATTTCATCATCATCCATTTAAACGTTCCACTGCTGGGCACGGATCTCCTCTCGGACGAGGGTTTAGGCCACAGTCCGCCACAATGGTCTAATGCGGGTTGGGGACTTCACACGTCGTCCGAGGTTAGTGAACCTTCTTCGACGTGCAGGTTTCATCACGATGTTTTCCTTCACTGAAAATCTCATGGTAAATTGTAAATAAAATTTCACACATAAATTCCGAGAAACTCAGAGTCAAACCAATTAGTGTGAGGCCAGACGAGCGTAATTTTGTGAGTTGTGAGTCGCGTAGTTTGAGGTGCGTAGTTGCGCTGCATTCGGTTTCATATAAAAGTACGGTTTGTTTCACACGACGACGCAAAGTGACTTATCTGCCGACTCAAGGGCGCCGGACCTAATGACGACTGACTTTCGTTCGCATCGTGTGACGGGATGTCTGCGAGTGGAGGTAGGGGTGAGGGAAGGGGTAAGTTTGGTATAAGATGCGCGTGAGTATAGACGTTTCTTGCGAAAATGTTCGATATGGAGATTAAAATATAAATAATTGCACAACTTACTTGATTGTTATTATTACTTTTGCCTCTGGACTGATAGCTTATCTCATATTTGTATCTGATTTAGTAATAAAAGGTTTTTACTAGGCTTACTAATTCTTGAAAAACATTTGTTGGCACGTGGTAGTACTTAACAAATTGATCTAAATGTTTACATAAAATTGTATGTAATATATGAAACTGCCCACACTTTAATCGCTTCATATTGAGTGGATATACCTAGCGTCTTTTTCTAACATCGTCTTCTAATGCTTCATAAATGCGTAGTATCATACACTACTACGATACAAACACCCCTTATAAACGCTTACAAACAACTGAATAAAATACATTCGTCTGGCGCTCCAACCGAATTTCAGTCGAGCGCAAACTGCGCAACTCAAAAAACGCAACTCACAAAATTACACTCGTCTGGCCTCACCCAAGGCTATCCGGCTTGAAGTAAGTTATTTATTCTTTAGTACCTAAAAATTTAAATTCTCGATATGCACTAAATGTTACATAAGAATGATTGCACTTTGAAGGATATTATTCGATGGCAATCTTATGAGACCAATACAACTTTTGAACGTCATCAAAATATAAATAAATATTTATAAAAACGTATCGAGTTCTTAGGTTTTCGCGATTGTTACACATAGGAAATGAAACTATTTTTCCGGATTTAAATCGCGTACATTTGTTTTTTCAAACAAACCAAATTTTTTTTGAAAAACAAATATACGCGACTAGTGGAGTAATTTCACAAAAAAATAATTGAATATAAATTCAATAAAAATTTAATTAATACAGTGAATAGCGACATCTCTCGCCAGGACTGGTAGCTGTAAAGGTACTAACTGGGTGATAAATCTGTAATAGATTTCTCATAGATGGCGCCACGACTAAAAAGTCGTTGAAAAACCAAGTACAAAGACACGACGCAAACACAGAAAAATTCGTGAGGTCCGTTGGTTCGTTCCGTGGCTTAGTTGGTATAGCGTCTGGCACGGTATGCAAGAAGACGTCGGTTCGAATCCGACCGGATCGAAGGAATTTTTTCTGAGTGTTTTTTCTGAGTGTTCGATCTTTGTATTAATAATTATAACAAACTAGTGGAGTAATTTCACAAAAAAATAATTGAATATAAATTCAATAAAAATTTAATAAATATACGCGATTTAAATCCGGAAAAATACTTTCATTTCCTATTTATAAAAACGTTAAAAAAAAGCTTTAATAGCAGCAGAGTCTCGCTCTTCCTTAACGCGTG